CCCCTTTCTATCTTTTCATTTTGGGATTTCAATTACATGCATGTTAGACTGATCAATGTTTTCTTATAGTGTTTGGATGCTCTATTTGCAGTTTTTCAACACTTGCCAAATCAGCCTCATCATGAGACATCAACATCAGCCAACCTGCAATTCCATCTCTGTGGGACTCCACAGGGCTGTTCCTCTAAACTCCTAAATTCCACTAATTCCAAACTCTTCCCTTTGCTCTCCCCCTAGGGGTGTTAGCTACTTCTTGAATGTGCTACCTTGGTGATATTTTACTGTTTTCTTGATGCCTTTTCAGTTAATTAACAACTTATCCTAACTACAATTTTTATATTAAATTTTCTCTGTTCATACAATGGGTGTCTTAGTTATCTAGTACTCCTATAAAAGAAATACCACAAGTGGATGGCTTTAACAAAGAAACATTTATTCTCTCACAGTATAGTAGGCTAGAAGTCCAAATTCAGGGCACAGCTCCAGGGGAAGGCTTTCTCTCTCTGTCAGCTCTGGAGGAAGGTCCTTGTCATCAATTTTTCCTCACCCAGGAACTTCTGAGCGCAGGTGTCCTAAGTGCAAAGGACACGCTCTGCTCCTGGCAAGACTTTCTTGGTGGTATGAAGTTCCCAAGTCTCTCTGCTCACTTCTCTCTTTTATATCTCAAAAGAAATTTACTTAAGACACAACCAAATCTTGTAGGTTGAATCCTGCCTCATTAACGTCATAGAGGTAGGATTTATGACACGTAGGAAAATCACATCAGATGACAAAAATTGTGGACAATCACACGATAGCGGGAATCGTGGCCTAGCCAAGTTCACATATTTTGGGGGGACACAATTAATCCATGACTACAGGTATGGTTTCTGTTTCCTGCCTGAACCTTCACTGCTACAGAAATGGATATAGGGAATCCCAGTAATCAAACTCTCAAACATGGGATTTTGAGATTGCTTTAGTTGTGTTCTTGGGCTTGACCATAGTTCTGAGTTCCTTGCTATTAGGAAGTGGGATAGTAGTGATCTATCGCATAAGATGGCATCACAATTAGCCAATTATTACTGCAATGTTTCCCCACCTTATTTGATCATGGAACCTTTTGTTAAAAGAAACATCTTGCAGGACTAGCGTTCTGCAAACTTTGGGAAATGCTGGCTTAGCCACACCACTCTATTCATTGTATTCTCTCTGAACACATCAAGTATGTTCAAGTTGCTGCTCATAATGTGTTCTCTAAACTGAGACTTATTGTTTGAGGCTCAATCCATGTTTTACCACAACTGTTTATAGCTTTTCCTGACACTGAATTGTTACCTCCCTAAAGGTAACAATTGGTTGTATTACTTTATACATACCTCTAATACAGTCATTGTTACATTACATTATAGTTATTTATTTACATATCTGCCTAGATAGCTGTCCTTGTGTTGACTCTGACTCACGGTGACCTTAGGTACAACAGAACGAAATGTTGCTCAGTCCTACATCATCCTCACGATTACCGGCATGTACAAGTCCATCGTTGCTGCCATGTGCAAATCTATCTCACTGAGGGTCTCTCTCACCCTTGCTGCCCATCTACTTCACCAAACATGATGTACTTCTCCAGTGATTCATCCCTCCTCATGACGTGTCCTAAGCAAGTGAGTCAGACAGTGTTCTGCTGTTACCTATAAGTGTTCATTGGCTAATTCTCATAAGCAGATTGCCAGGCTTTTCCTCCTAGTCTGTCTTAGTCTGGAAGCTCCGCTGAACTGGTATTTGAGATACCGGTGGCATAGCTTCCAGCATCACAGCAACACACAAGCTACCACAGTATGACAAACTGACAGATGGGTGGTAGGCATATCTGCCTAGCCCACTAGAAGTGGAGCTCTTTGACGGAAGGTCCTTGTCTGATTCATCTTTGTACTCCCAACACCTGTCTCTAGCATATAGTAGGTACATTAATTTGTTAAATTTATATGGTATCATTCATGAGAACGGTTATGGAGGCTAGCTCTACGCATTTACTTAAACATTTCGGTACTTTGAATTTGCTGCCCCAAAAGAGGATAAAGAGATGTGCTTCATTATTTTAAGTGAATTGTTTATAGCATTCTGACTATATGTTATAATTTTCCCCCAACACTGGAAACTTATTTCCTTTTTTCCATTTACAAATATGTTCACCTTAGATAGGCAAATAAATTCAGTTCAACAAGCATATATAGTGCAATTACTCTGCGCCAGGAACTATGCTAAGTCTTAAGTACAGGAACATGATAATATAAATACTCATAGTTAAATAGGGATACATACTGTACTCAAATAAATTTCAATATCAAAGTGTTAAGTACAATAATGGAAGTATATATGAGTTTCAGGAGTAGTGTAGCAGAGGAAGATACACTCTTTATGAGAAGTATGAGGAAAGAATTCCCAGAGAAGATTTCTGAACTAGAGTTTGAAAACTGGATAGTTTTCCACGCAAACTAGAGGCAAAGGGCATGAATAAAAGAATGGAGGCAAGAAATCATAGGTCTATAAAGAAGTAAGAGCAGTCTGGGGAGCATTAAGTACCAGATGGTTTGTGGCAGAAAATGAAGCTGGAAACTTAGGCAACGGTTAGATCATAAGGATCTTAGATGACATTCTAAGGAACTTGGACTTATTCAGTAGGTGATGGGAAGCCAGAGAAGACAAATACCATTTGTTTTGCTTTTTCTGCATTAGGAAAAATCTGTATTATCACTCATTCAACAAACAACTGTTAAGTGCATACACTGCACTGAATTAAAGTTCATCATAAAGGACATTCTTGTTGAAAAGGTAGACAGCCTAGTTTTCATTTATAATTTCTATCCTCTCCAACTGATTCTTGGCATAAACTCACAGGACAGTATTTCTAACTCTGTAGCTAACACCAATACCAACATTTTTGAATCATTTCTGCCAGGTAGCACATTTTTTAGCAACCCAGTTTCACTCATAAACTGTAATTAGTCTTCTATAAAGAGCAAATTATTTCCTTTATTCCTTTTCTAAATTTCATAGCTTTCATTTTATTTTTGTTACACGTTGATGTCTATAAATTTCTATGTAAGGTTAGGCCAAAGGAATCCACATATTTTCAGCCTACAAACTCTTCTATTTAAAATGGAATTTTCTATTATAAAATAGGAAAATAAAATAAGAGAAAGAAAAATTTCCAAAATGTAGACAATATACCTCAGGAAGGCATAAGAAAGATCTCTAGAAAGAATACAAAAGAGTTAACAAATACCAAGTATTACCTAAGTAAATACTGAGATTAAGGTGGAAGTCTAGATATCAAACAGAATTACATAGAGAACGGAGATAAGACAAACCAAATGGTCATCAATTAATTCTATATTAGGGGTTCAAGGGAACAAGAAAAACTTGAAATTTCAAAATCAGTGATGGCAAAGAAAGGAATGAGCAACACCTTGTTAAAGATGGTATTGTTTTAATGTATAAAACACATTTCCAAATGTGTTTCATACCAGTGTCCTACATATTTGAAAAAATATCTCATATCTAGATAATAAATGACCTAAAACTGGTGGCTGATTTGCTATAGAAACAAAAACTTGTAGTTACTTATTGCAATATTCTCCTTTAACAAGAGGACCAGAGGCAAAGAAAATATTCTGACATTGTAAAGAAATCGTAAATTTGAGTTAGATAAGGAGTGAGAGACTTGAATGAGACAGTTGCTCAGTTTGGGATTAGATACTGTGAAATCTTTTTCTGGATGTCTCTAGACAAAAAGCAGACTATCAGCTGTATATCTAGTCTGCTAACAAGGGAACAGGCAAGATTTCTTAAGATCCTGTCAAGCCTGGTGATCCTACAAGTCTTTGGAAATGAAAGCCTAATTAAGAGGCTCCCTAGGGACAGGTCAAAGGGGTCTTTTATCCCTACTGCCCTTATCCAGTTCCTTGATGCCCTATTCCTCCCCTTTCATTCAGCTTACTCTAAAACTGAATACACATTGTACAAGTTTCCACTACTGTAAATGCATTAGACTATTATAATTAAGAGTTTTAAATCCCTTGTCCCTTATCTTTAAACTGATATTTTTTTTTTTAAAGTGTTTTTGAACATTCTTCTAAAACTTGTTTTTTCAGTTGGACAACAAATTTTTTTTTTAAGTGATAAACTTTGCCTAAAAGATTACAAAGTCCTTCAAGCTTCTTTATGATAAAGCTATCTGATAAGTAACAATTGATCAAAAGTTTAATTCAGTTTTATGTCCTTCTAATTTCAAAGATTGTGTTGCATGGAATTACTTAATTAGATTACATTCCTGTTGGAATCATGTTACGCGTTGCACTTCCTTGAAACAATTTCAGGGTTGAACGTCTCTACTGAATCCCCCAGAAAATAGCAACTGGCGCACGTTTTAAAACCTGATATAAATTATTTGCAGATTTAAAGTCATTATTGTCATTCCTTTGGTAGCAAAACGAAGGTATAATGGAGCACTTTTGTTTTTACATCCTCTTTTCCCCTGCATGAAAAATTAGTGGCGTTAATTTGTGTAACTTTTAAACAAGACTGTAGAGATTGGAGCATTCTATCCAGTTATGATAATTCTGTGTGAGTTATCCAAGGTTTAGAAAGAAGTGTGGACACCGCCCGGCACCTGAACCCGATCTCGCCTCAGACCACTACTTCACACTGGCATGTTAAAATTTCAGCTTTTAATTCTGGGGCTCAAACTCTTAACATTTAACTATAAAGCTCCTCTTACCAACATTCATAAACACCAAGAGTCAAGGTAGGTTTCATGATGCTAACTCTTAACCATGCGTCAATCGTCCCAGATACAATATCCAGCCTCTTTCTGGTCAGCAATTGCCGGCACCCGCTCAGTGCTACAGTGGCTGATCACCTGATTGGTGCCGGTGCGTGCCAGTCACATAGAACTGGCGGGGCCTCAAACACCTCGATCTAAATGAGACGCGGAGTTTTTACGTCATCTTCAAGCGGCAAAAACTGGAGGGAGGGGTTGTGAGCGCGCCTCGGTGGTGGTGGGGGCTGCTGGCGAAGGTGTCATGGCTGCCGCCGCCGTGGAGCTTAGTCGCCAGAGCAGCAGTGACAGGAGCTTGGAGCGGAGCTGCAGCCCTAACCTCTCCCGAGAGGTGCTCTGCGAAACCTTTCGCTCCCTGCGCAACTTGGTTGGACAAGTGAGTAGTGAACTGGGTGAGTAGGGCGTGGGAACCTTCCGGCCCCTCCCCCCTTTTTCCTCTAGTTAAGGTTGCGGGCCGCCGAGCGGGAGTAGCTCAGGCTGGGGGAGGAACCCGGGCCCCTGCCGCCTCCGGTCCGAGAGAGGAGGATGGCTGCACGGACTAAGTTGCAGGGACCGGTTGCAAGCTAGATTTTCTTGCAACTATTCTTCCTGTTCTCTTACAGGTCGCTATGAGTCGGAATCGACTCGAGGGCAGTGGGTTTTATTCTCCCTTAGGAGTGAGGATAGTATAAATGAAAACCTGGTTCCCCGAGAGAATGAATGCGGAAAAGCTTCTCTTAAGGGTTTGGGAGGCGCCTGACGCTGAGTGTTCTTTTTTCTCCAATTCATTTTAGAAATTGGTTGGTCAGTGCGGCCTGAGATTCTGGAAAAGCGCTCTCTACACTTTTTTTTGGTCGATTTGCTCTTATGAGTCAGTTTTTTTTTTTTTTTCTTTCTGCATATCACCTGCATCTATTAGGCTTTCAAACAGGGAGGAAACTAAAAGGAATTAATCGAAAATACAGCATAAAGTTGGATGCGTTGCCCATGGTTGATTTGTGTGCATCAGAACTCTTTTAACTATTAACTAGTTTAACTGATAAATAACTTTAGTGTAAATGTCATTGTAAAATTGGGTTTGAAAGGATGGGCTCCTTACTCTGTTCGGATCAACTCAGTATTTGATTTCATGGTATACAAGTCAAAGGAAATTTTAAATGAAAAACAACCTGAAAAGATGTTTATTTGCCTGCTTTTTAAAAGGAAATATTTTGTATCTTAGATGGAACACTTTCTAGCTATAAAACTTTGTTCAGCGACTGGTAGTAATGTCTGTAGTCAAGTAGACAGAGCAGACATCTGTGTTGAAGATAACGGTTAATTCTTATGAAGATAAAGTATTTGTCCGATTTATGAAAATTATTTTTTAAAGACTTGGGTGTATGGGGAATTAATTTTTTTAAGTTATTTCAATATTAAAAAAAATTCTAGCATGCTTGTCATGACTTACAAATAGCATTACTCTAAACACTTAGCCTGGTATAATGGAACAATTATTAATGGAATCTGCTAAAAGGTAGAATATAGCTTTTAAATTTGGTTGTTTGCCGAGGAATTACCAATGATGTTTTTAGAGACTTGAGGGCTTTTGATTAATTATTGTTAACATTTTAGTCTTAAGGCTCAAGACTTTTAAATGCTTTAAAATTTAGAGAACTTTTTATTTCTATGGTGTGGATATTAGAACTTTAAAGTTTATTCATGTTCTAATGCTAGGATGAAAAAAGTTTATACTGTCCTATTATTTACAGAAGGTGTTTCTGTTTCAGTAATGGAATATTTTTAAAAAATTAAGATTGAGGAATGATTTAAAACATTTCTTTAAATTTTGTGTTCTGAATTTTTCAAACTCATTTAAAAATTATAAACATTCAGGTATTCTGTAGGTACAGGTAGAGGTGTGATTAAAGTCTACTCATGTCATCTATCAAAAATGTTTAGAATAAATATTTGTTAAGTTTACATGACGCAGTGAAGGAATCTTCTATACAAGTATCAAAAATAAAATTGTCTCATCAATTAAACGCTAATCGTTTTGGTAATATTCTTTATATTTTGAGACATATTATTTAAAGATAAGAATAAAAACCAGAGTATTATAATACTTATAAAATCACCTCGGGGGAGATCACTGCTTCCTTTTGCAACAAGTTAGAAGAATTTAAAATATGTGCATAAACTCATTCTGTATAATGCTATTGTATTATTGGCTCTCCTCAATAGAAGCATAAAATTGAATGTTAAAAAGTATTTTCTACCCCAGATTGAAAAATTTATTAATTTTTGCCGATTTTAACCTAAATGATTGCCTCTGGATGGCCCCATTTTACCAAGCTAAAGAATTGTTTATTGTTAGCTTGGATTTTCTTATTAATTTAATGAAGTTTTTACTGAAAATGCATATTTAAATAGTTGATATTAATAAACTAATACAGATTTTTGAGTCAATGGTGTACCACTACAAATTCTATAGGGTAAAAATGTACAGAGAATTTGTTGAACAGATAGTTGAATGTATTAGGGTAGTTTTAATTCATGGCGTTATTATATGGCTTTCTTGAAAGACCAGGTATCCTGTTGCATTTGAAGGCTTTCATAATTGTGTTGAATTGAAATGAGAATATGATCCAAACATTTAGTTTTATTTTCCCTAAGTTACTCTTTTCTCTAGAAAATTTGATGCTTTGCTTCGAATGAGGATTGGCATACTTTATCACCAAATCCTATTCATAAATTTGTTTTACTTGACTATAGATCTCTGTGAGGTCTGTAAAAGTATAGTAGTAGTTTATTTCAATACATAAGTTGTTGTCTAACAAAGTCTTTATAAAAGACATCAAGGTAATACAAATTAAGAGGAATTTATCTTTGCCAGTATAGCCTACATAAAAGTTTATATTTCTTTAAACTTGTCTAACGTGAATGTTAAATGCTTCTGGTCTCATGTTCAAAGGACAATAAATTTCTGTTTCGAAGTTTTCTTTCAGTATACTGTTTTTTATTGGATGCTTTGGATGTCTTTGGTTCCTTGTACAGTAATTTATCATTTTGTTATATTATAATCTCACCTGTTAAGGTCTATATTTGAACTCATGCACTGCTGGTCTTTATTTTGTAGAAAGCATAACTAATTTTTTAATAAATATTTTCTGATAAATTAATATATTTAACTTGATTCTACTACGCATTATATTCTTATATATTGTGCTATATATAAACACATGCCCCCTAGAAAAATTTATGGTGATTCACTTTTATTCACTCAACAGACACTACAGATAGAGGCTCTCATTCTAAAATTTTTTCTTACTTTGATATTAATTTTATACTCATCTTCTTGGTAGTTTTCTGGATATAATTTTATTCTAATAGATCACTCATATCCAATTTATAAGAAATTTTCACATAATGAGCCCTCACACCTTACTAGAAAATAGTATTTAACAAAAGATCTGGACATTCCATCCAGGCCCTGGCCATTAATTTCACTGTTGTGGAAAAGTGTTTGTTATTCATTTTCAGATTTCCACAGCTAAATAATAGTTTATTTTTTATCTGAAGTAGATCAACGTGTTGCCATTTATCCCTAGATTTTATAATGTGTATGAATAATCTTGATTTTAAATTATTTTTAAAAGTTGAAAACAATGAAAATGTGATTCAGAAGACATCAGAGTTATGATATATTTCAGGTATGTATTGTGTACGTATTTATCTAACAGAAGGAAATATGCATATTAGAACTTCAGTAATACAGTTGTACTTCTTCTGTTTAATGCTCTGAGTTAGTTGTAGGATTCTGAATAGAACAAGCGTATCTTGGACCGTATCCAAAGATTTTTAGATATTGAAGTATCAAAAGAACCTTTATCATTCGTGGATGATTTTGCCTCAGAGATGGTCCCAATACACTGACTCAAGAGTAGAATTAGAACAAAATGGCATTCTGATTTGTTATGAAAATCTGCACCTTTCTTGGACTTTATAAAATGATAACTAGGTAGAGTATTTTAGTGTAAGATTAAAAACTTGATAACTTTGAGCAAAATAGGTATGTGTTATTCTATAGAAATCTTATTTTTGTGACAATCCCATATGTACAGCTTAATCATGTAATTTTTGTGATGTTGCTGGTTTGCCCTTTTGAAGCTTAACCTCAGAGATGATGTGGTGAAAATTACAATCGATTGGAACAAACTCCAGAGCCTCTCAGCATTCCAGCCTGCATTGCTTCTTAGTGCACTTGAGCAACACGTTTTATATTTACAGGTAAATTTCTTGTTAGACATGTTAGCTTGATATTGAGAATAGAAATTAATTGTGATTAAATTATTAGCTGGAGTATTTGTCAGTTCTGTCTCAACATTATATGAATAGAGTTATTAATAAAAGGTTACTTACATCCAGATTGGATCCAAATCTGTTAATTTACATAGTGATCAGGACAGTTATAGGAATATAGGCCAATGTGGGTATGAAGATTGAATGAATGCATTTCTATTCAATTCTAGACTTGCATTGAAAATTCAATACAGTTCCATCTATGGTGGGTTATAATTAAGCAATAAGACCCGGCAGGTGTGTGTCATGCTATGATAATGATTCCATGCCTTGGGTGAGTTTGGAGGCTCATGGAGTGCTTTCAGTGGTTCAAGAAGTGGCATTATCCCAGCATGACACATCCTGGAGTGTCTATTGCAATTAAACAGTTTCAGCATAGTTTTTAAAAAGAAAGTAATTTCTGTGACATTAATGTCTCATCTTGGTAAGTAGCCAGTCACTATTTTATCTTTCTTTTGCTTAACAGTTTTAAATAACTCATTCTTTATATCAGAAGTCAACACTGAAGTGTTATTTACAGTGGTATCATATTTTTTTAATATTTCAGTTCAGTAACTAAACAGTATTATGACCTTGCTTGTTTCTAATTGAGCATCTCTGCAGTTATAATTGATGTAAGTTTGCAGTTTATCTCTAATCAAAGTGCAAAATGTGTAATGTCAAAAAAATAAGTGGAAGAACTGTTTGGATTGGTCAGTTTACTGCTTTTAAGGTTTCAGAAGAATATTTGGTATTGCAAACAATGGAAGCAAACTCGTAGGTATAAAAAAAAAATTGGAACATTGATAAGTGTTGGTGTGTTTGATTAATGGAATATACATTAATTTTAAGACACCCTTTCAATGACTTTGGGAAAACGTAACTCTCATGTTAGAAGTAATAGTTAACCTTAGTTTTAAAGGGCAGAAGCAATAAGCTGTAGAACTCAAGTGAGGCCTAATTGTGTGTGTGTGGAGAGGATGAGTAGTATACTTTACATTGTACAACAGGGCTTTTTCCCCCCTCTAGTATAGTGATCCAAAACCAACCAAACCCATTGTCATCACGTCTGTTCCAACTCATAGTGACGCTGTAGGACAGAGTAGAATGCCCCACAGGGTTTCCAAGGCCGTAATCTTTATGGAAGCAGACTGCCACATCTTTCTCTCACAGAGCAGCTGGTAGGTTCGAAACTGCCAACCTTTTGGGTAGCAGCCAAGCACTTAACCACTGCACCACCAGGGCTCCTTAGTATAGAGATAGGCACCTATTTTCAGCTATGCATGTTGGTAGTTTTTTTTTTTTTTTCTCTTGTTCATTTTCTTTTTTAAAATTAAATTTCATGACCCAGAAGATAGCCTGCCATGTCAGGAAAAGCCTGAGTGTTCACTCAGCATAACACCTATATATTTCATGTCTGTGCTCTCTCATTCACTTTGGCCAACTGCAGTTTCAAGTGGAGAATCTCCAGTGATATAGTGATAATGCAGGGCTTTGCTGAGTGAGAGCACTGGCTCTCGTGTTAAGGAGGAAAAATACTAAGCCTTAGTGTTCTGAGGAGGCATTTGAATGACATGTTAATTAAGTGGCATTGGTGCCAGAGGCTGAGCCTTTGATTTGGCACAAAATAAAAGATGAGTGACAGAATGATTCCCTCAAAGAAAATTTAAAATTTCCTCAGGTTTTCTTTCTTTTTTTAAAAACAGATGTATAGCAAATGATAATGGTTACAATAGCAGAGAACAACAAACACTTAATATGTGGTCGATTTATGTATCCTGATATGCCAATTTCTTATATTTAGCAATTGATATTAAATGTTACATTCACTTAGCAGAAATTTCTATAAATATGCTAAATATGTCATTAATTTTGATCAGTTTGAACCCTAGCAGATGGAATTGTGTTCTTCTCAGCCCTTTTTAGCAAAACTTCGGCCTCTAATTAAAGAAGAGAATACAACTGCTGTTGAAGAGATAGGAAAAACAGAAACAGGCAACGAGAATCAAGTAAATGCCAAATTTCCTGTTGGCAACCTGCAAGAGGAAGAAAAGCACAAGGATTGTGATTTAGGAGATGTAAAAAAGATACAGATCCGATTTGATCCAGAAGTAGTTCAAATAAAGGCTGGAAAAGCAGAAGTAAGTTTTTATTGGGGGAAAGTGTAATTTTTTTTAAAAAATCTTAGGATTTTTGAATTGTTAAAACATGCTTCTTTGTTATTTGTAGATTGACAGACGAATATCTGCATTTATTGAAAGAAAACAAGCTGAAATCAATGAAAACAACGTCAGGGAATTTTGCAATGTTATTGATTGTAATCAAGGTAACTCCCTGGAAGTTAACTTTCACAGGATTTTAAGCACAATTTTTACAGTTGCTCTGATCTTTCATTTGTTTTTAAAAAGTGAATAAAATTAACAACACAATTCAGTTTATTTCACAGGTTTATTTAGGAACCAAGGTAGCATTTTTTTTTTCTGTTTAATAGTAGACTGTACTGTAAAAATGGTTATCATTTTGGTTGCATAAAATCAATAAATGTTAATGTAGAAAGGCTAATGTTTACCACAGGGAAAAGATTATTTTAAGTTCCGTTCGAAAATGAAGGTGAAGTATGAGTGGCAGAGTTGTTTGATCTCACTTGTAAGAAGGAACTGAGCTGAATAAATTTCAAGCCCATAAATGTACTTATGAAACTATGATGTTAATACCTAAAATGTACTTAGTAAAGTTAATATTCCTCAAGAGGGAGCAGTTTTCCCACTACTCCTGAGCTGTTTGAAGTGTTTTATGTCATGATAAAACCAATTTTGTCATGAAGACCATGTGTCTTATGGCTCTTTTCCTTCTTTCACAGTGCATGATTTTCATCAGATTCTCCTTTCCCTCTCCACTCAGTGCTGTAGTGCATTTACAGATCTGCAGGTATGCTGCAGAATACAAAATAGTGCAAAACACTGCCATAGATCACACTTGGGCATCATGTTAATAATCAGAACAAGTAGACAAGTAGTTCTTAGAAAAAATCATGGACAAGAGTTCATAATTGGAATGAATGTTTTTCTTGTTTACTCTAAAATCACTTGGCTAATTAATATAAACACAGAATTGTCAGATGAACCTAGATGTGATTCATGCCACATTGGTACACTGATTCTTTTAATAATGAGATAATACAGCCTCAAGCTGAGTCCTACGTTCAGCTTTTTCCACTGTTAATGTTACACATGCATACCTCTAAATTTGGTGTATTTTCCTGTTAGCTTTTTAGAACAGGTGCCACAGTGGCAAAATCTCAGGTACTACAGTCTGACTGCAAGTAACTGATGAGAAAGGGTTTGCTGAGAGAGCAAGCACATTTGTCACTAATGTTATTCCTCTGTTCTCCCTGCTAACTCTATTAAACCACTGGGGATAGGAATTGACAAGAATCTAAATGCTCAGCAGGATTTCTTGGCCGATTCAATCCCTTGCTGGCTCAAAACAGTGCTAGCAAGAATTGCTGTGGAGAGTGACTAGCACTCATACTATCTTCACACCATGCTGAATTTCTCACTGATGGGTCAGTTAATCTATATATTTGGAATATAGCTCTGGTATGGATGATAGCTTCTTTTTTTAACCTTAGCCCCATGAAATGCCAAAAAGAGAATGGTGAAGTGATGGCCCTTTACACATATTTTGAGGTATCTTTATAAGAAAGAAAGAAAATGACTGTTTGGTATCTAGATATAAAAGATAAGTGAATCTGGAGTTTTATTCACAGTTTGATTTGTCAGTAGTACTACTTTGTTAAGGAAACAGACTGAAAAAATACAAATGTATTTTAATGTATTAGTCAGTTTGACCTAAATCTGAACAGTGGAGTGGGAAAAAAAAATCAAATTCTGTAGGGAAAAGAAGAATTTTCTTTCAGTATTGATTTTCCATCCATTTTTATAAAATAATTGAAGGATAATTTTGCAGGAAATTTTTTGCCAGTGCTTAATTTTACTTAATGTTTCTTTAAATATTATAATATTTGTAATGTTTATGTATTATGTCAACATCTTTCCAATCTTCCTCCTTGGTTTAAATTTATTTGTTATTATTAAACTTATTTATTTATTTATTTATTTTTGATTTTCTTTTTTTTTTATTGTACTTCAGGTGAAGGCTTACAGAACAAATAGTTTCTCATGAAAC